TCAAGCGCATGCAGTGACTGTGGTAACTTTAACCTTTGAAAGGATACTATGACAAAGATATCCTTTATTTAAACACATTTGTTTTCCTCATGAATATACATGATTGAGCTGAAGAATAAAAGCTGTATCATATACTTGGATAATATATGAGCAATATCATGCTCATAGCCATGCGAAATGGCACTATATCTATATCAGACGGGCTGCAGTGTTAATTTTGCGTGAAAAGATTGTTTTATCAATGAAATGAAACACTAATTTCACATATATTGTCTGTCGATGTACCTTTTCATAAGTATGGCTCTTTTCAAGGACTTCAATTTCAAAAAGTCAAATTCAAATCCTATTCCTAACCCAATAGTAAGTACATGTAGTTAATTAATATTACTCAGTACATAAATATAAAATTACACTAACAACTATACCTTAAAATAAAGTGTAACAAATAGGCTGTAATAAATCTATGTATAAAACATAAATGGTAAGGTTTGAAGTTGTGATGAACACTCTTACCAATCCTTTCTGCAGACGGGATCCTTCAGTTCTATAAATGAAGATCAAAACAGTAGAGTGAAATCCTGTGTGTCAGAAGACTCTCATACAAATATTCAGATTCATAGTCATAGCTTCATAAATACCTGCTTAACAGCAGCTCGATATATTCCATGTTGCACTGAAGAACAAAAACCGAACTGAAAAAACATGCAAACAAAATGTCAGCACAAATTGACATGAGGGTTTATCTGTAGGTAAATCGTGGTCAGATGCTTCTCTCTTCACCTGAGAACCGCTGGAAAGATGTCCACAGCAATATGATTCACAAAGAGCAGGTGGCACATGCAGGCCAGCGACTCCTTTGGGTATCTGACCTCCTCTTCCAGAAAGCCTGGGACCTCCCTTCTCTTCAGCACACTATGACTCAACAAATCAGGGAGTGACTCCCCGATATTTGACAAAATTATCTGTAAACATGGAACACAATGCAGATTAAGGATGAAAAGGTATATCAAGGCAGTAGTTTTGAAATACATTAGCAGATGCCTCTAGATTTAATATTATGCCATTTAAAGCAATTGTTTTAGACTATCATTCAAAAGTTTGATTTCAATAAGATTAAGTCACTTAAGCTCACCAAGGCTGCATTTATTTGATTAAAAATACCGTAAAAGCAGTAATATTGTGAAATATTATTACAATTTAAAAATAACTTTTCTATTTGAATATATGTTAAAAGGAAATTAACTCCTGTGATGGCAAAGCTGATTTTTCAGCATCATTACTACAGTCTTCAGTGTCACATGATATTTCAGAAATCATTCTAGTATGATGATTCGATGCTCAAGAAACATTTTTTATTATAATCTGCTTGATATTTTTGTGGGAACTGTGATAAAAAAATAAAATTGTAACATTATAAATCTCTTTACTATGGAAGCTTGTTTCCGCCACTGAATGAAAAATAAAAAAGGTAATTGCGACTTTTTATCTCACAATTCTGACTTTTTTTCTCACAATTGCGAGTTTACATCTTGCAATTCTGACTTTTTTTCTCACAATTGCGAGTTTACATCTTGCAATTCTGACTTTTTTTCTCACAATTTCTCACAATTGCGAGTTTACATCTCGTAATTCTGACTTTATTTCTCTTAAAGTCTTTATAAAGTCAGAATTGATTGATATAAAGTCGCAATTGCGTGTTATAAAGTCAGAATTGCGTGATATAAAGTTGAAATTGCGTGTTGTAAAGTCAGAATTGCGTGATATAAACTATTCTGAGAATTGGCCTGATAACTCGCAATTGCGAGTTTATATCTCACAATTCTGAGAAAAGATGTCAGAATTTCGAGATATAAACTCGCAATTATGTGTTATAAAGTCAGAATTGCGAGATGTAAACTCGCAATTGTGAGAAAAAAAGTCGCAATTCTGTCTTTTTTTCTCGCAATTGCGACTTTATTTCTCATAATTGCGACTTTATATCTCGTAATTGCGACTTTATTTCTCAGAATTGCGACTTTATATCTCGCAATTGCGACTTTATTTCTCAGATTTGCGACTTTATATCTCGCAATTGCGACTTTATTTCTCACAATTCTGACTTCATATCTCGCAATTGTGAGATAAAAGTCGCAATTATTTTATTTATTTATTTTATTCAGTGGCGGAAACAAGCTTCCATACTTTACTGTTACTTTTAATTTAAAAAATAATAAATTTCTTCTTTTTTTTTTTTTATCTTACTGACCCCAAACGTTTGAATGACAGTGTAAGTTTCGAAACACTTCATGCAATAAAGGAATGCAATAGTTAAAGATCATGCAATATTATACCAGTATCTCAGTAGCAAAGTCTCTCAGAGGGGATTTTTGGAGTGTGTCTGGATCTTTCAACTGCACCTCCAGCAGAGGCTCACTTAAACTCTTCATGCAGCTGAATAAAAAATATAATACATAAATTGCCCATATTAAAACACTTTGTTATATTGTCTAAAAAAATTATGAACTAAAACCCTAAAAAAAAATCAATTGTTGTAAATAAATCTGCGTATCACACATTTTTATAACTCTAACATCGAGATTTTGCTAAAGATTTCATTTAACAGTGTTATATTACATTATTAGTGTTTTTAAGGATTAACTAATCACGTGTCAAGAGTCTAGAAAACAGCAAAGTTATTCTAAATGTAAAAATCGAGGAAATGAGTATGAACAATTAAATATCCAATGCCGATAACTGAAATTATCTCGATATATATCCTTAATTTGGGGTAAAAATGATAAGCTACACTTATTAAACCTACAACTTGAGCAGTTCCACCCTGAGCTCATTATCCTTGGATATTCTGTTGTTGTCCTTGACGATCTCCTTGATCTCTTCAACAAAGGGCTTCACAAACTGCAGAAGAGCAGTGCAGCAGCAGCACAAGCCGAAAACATCATCCTCCTCCTGCTCTTTGGTGACGGGCACCGGCAGTCTGGCCACCTGGCTGAGCAGCGTGGAGAGAGCCATGCCCACAGACGAGGCCTTCTTCATGCCCAGCCTCAGCAGCACTGACAGGTTCAGGACATATCAGGGGCAAAAAGAGGATCTGGTTCATTTAGGATCCATTCAAAATCATCAGAGTCACATGGAAGAGTCTTATGAGTACATCAGAATACAGTATGCATGAGTCAGGATGGTCGGAAAACAACTTGGTAGTCAGTTGAAGTGAGTTTACCTACAGTACCGTTCAAAAGATTGGGGTCAGTAAGTCAGTAAATACTTTTATTCAGAAAGTACATGCTAAATTGGGGCTTTAGCAATAATTATGATATAACTTTCCCCTATTAAATTAAAACAAAAGTTTGATAAATGTCCGATACAATGTTTATGCACTATGCAAACAATGCTGTGTATGCGTGTTGCAGACCGTCACATTGCATAATTTTTCATATCACCCAGACATACCTACATTAAATTGATCAAAATTGACACTAAATACATGCATAATGTTACATAACGATTTGATTTCAAATAATGGAGTAATGGCTGCTGAAAAATCAGCTTTGCCATCACAGGAATAAATTACTTTTTAAAATATATTTTTTAAAAAGGAGTTCATTTATATGAATAACATTTCACAATATTACAGTTTTTACTGTATTCTTTTACTGTATTGTTCAAATAAATACAGCCTTGATGAGCATAAGAGACTTCCTTCAAAACATTTAAAAATGTACTGGCCCCATATTTTGAACAGTAGTGTAGAAATTTCTCAGAGATGGTTTTCGTGGCTGAAACATTTAGGCAGTCAGCAGTTCACTGATGTCAACAATACATCGACATTTCAGTGGTTATGATTCAGTGACTAAGAGAAGAGGGACCTGTTTGTAAAGGCTTGAGGAGAAGGGTAAGCGTCTCAGCAATGGAGGCAGAATCAGCCTCCTCCACCTGCTCCAACAAACCCACCAGCAGCTCTTTAGGACTGCAAACCTGTTTCACAAAACAACACTATGAACAATTGAAAGCAGCATGGAAACTTACAGCTGGTCATGGTTTAAGAACAAGACATAAACAACCTCCAGCAGATGCGACAGGATGGCATGGCAGTGGGGAAGGTTTTTGTCCTCCTTCTTCAGGAGCATCTGTACCAGAGGTCCCAGCAGATTCCAGCCCATGCATCTCACTATGCTCTTGAGTAGAACAAGGAAAAACATTCCTGAATTTGTCCTTCTCCATAGATGAATCACAAAGTGCACTAGATGCTGTCCAACTCACCTTGTTCTTCTCATCGACTAGGATGCTGAGAACTTGAGCACTGTCGCCTTGTTCTAAACAGGTTCTTCCAGCGGTGAGGAATACATCATAGTCCTTTGATGAGTAGCTTTCATCCTTGATTCCTTGCTAAAGAAAAAGTGAATGCACACGTGACTGATGGTAGGTGACACATCGTCAATGTACAGTAGCACATATCTAGACACTTACACATCTCTGGACTACATCACTGAGCTGTTCTAGAGCCATCCTGATGGTCCGAAACGTCTTCTGTCATCAACGATTTCTGTATAGAATTTTTTTATGATATTAATATTATGCATGAATGATAACAATGATGTGGTGCAAAGACAAAAGAGCATTGACGTAGTTATCAATCATGACAGCTTTATAAAGAGAAGCTGGTTGTCACACACAGCTCTAATTATTATCATCAGCAAACAAAGCAGAAACTATCCATATAACAAAGAAAATATTCATAAATAAACCTCACTCTTCGTCAGAGAGAGAGTCTGTATGGATATAAACCGGTTCTTGTAGTCATTAGCAAGATAGCTAAAATCTCGACTGGCGTTCACTAAATAATCTCTATAATCAGATTATGCGTTCGCGTAGCTTTGTACGGGCATGGCTGCTGGTTTATTTTGCTAATAAGATATACATCTACTAAAAAAGATACAAAATGCAAATGCGCGCTCACTTACAGCTATACTTTCAATAAGCAGCGCCTCATGTTTGGAAACTGCAGCGGAATAAAGCGTGTCACTGGCGGCTTGCCGTAGTGCTGTGACGTAGGCGGAAAAAGTTTTGTTTTGGGAAAACAAGCATGGAAGCCGGTGAAGTGACGGGAAAGAATAGCTCCTCAAAATCCAAAAAGAAAGGTTGGTGGATATATGGAGCTACATGTGATTTGCCCTCAAAGCTGTTAGGTTTAAACTTTAACAATATTTGTCCGCCTCATTTGAATTTTAGGTGGAAAGGGAGCCGAAGCGATTTCAGCAGCCCATGAGGCGAGAAGGTGCTTTTGTGTTTGTTTACTTTAGTTGATCTATGTTTTTTATTAGGAGTGTAACAATATGTCGTGTCACAATATATCGCAATACAAAAATGCAACAATGTATCGTGGATTGTGACGATTTGTTTTCTGTATAGTTCTCCCAAAATTAAAATTAATGTGTGAGAAAAAAAATCAAGTTCACAGAGTTTTAGTGTCAGTACTACATTATACTACAATATATGATGTATAATAATGCAATGGGGTATATTTGTGGGTCCTGATAATGCCAAATGTCTTATATTACCAGTAAAAAAAGTGTCCTACATTATTTTAAATAAATCTAGTCTGTGACTGAGTCCAAGCATTTTCGTCAAAAATAATTCTGTATTTTCAGCTTCAGAATAATACTGGGGTCACTAATTGTCCTGTGCATTGGGTTACCAGCACCAAGTCCAAGCCCATTCATTTACTTTATTTTTTACAATGTAATATCAAATTTAGCATTTTAATCAACAGAATATTTTTTGTAAACCTTTTACCATATGTCTTGGAGAATCGCAATAACATCATATAGTGAGTTCAGTATCGTGATATGTTTTGAATCTTGATATGAGGGTATCGTTACACCCCTATTTTTGAATAACAATATTTTAAGTAACTATTAAAATGACGTGAGTTATATAAAGTGTGTTGTTTGCAGGAGGGAAGCCATTAAAGATGCGCTCAGACAGAAGCTGGAGTTGGAGCGCAGAGCCCTGCACGTGGTCGAGCGCTTGGTGGAAGAGGACAACGTGACAGAGCAGTTCCTCATCGACTGTGTAACTTACATGTTTAGCCTCTTTATACAGTTTAGCTGGAGATTTAAATAGTTGTGCTCCAAAAAGAATGGCTGTCATCTTCTGCTGCAGGCATGGTACATCACTTCTATCAATTACAAAGACACAGTGGAAGAGCGGTCCATTGCCAAACTGTGTGGATACCCTGTGTGTCCAAATAAACTAACCAATGTAAGAACCCTTCTTGGAATTACACAAGTTATTTTTTATTTGACACATGTTGTTGTTTCTTTCTGTCTAATATGAGTTTATTAATTTCAGGTGCCCACTCAACAGTTTAAAATATCCACCAAAACTAATAGAGTCTATGATATTACAGAGCGCAAGGTATGATTTATTTCCATCGCTCTCCTAAAATGTATTTAGAAATTAAGCAGACCAGTTCTTCATAATTTTCTGTTGTTTGTTCGTTATTTTTCAGTGCTTCTGTTGTAATTTCTGCTACAAAGCCTCCAAATGTTTTGAGTTCCAGATATCAAAAACTCCACTTTGGCTCAGAAAGGAGGAGAGGTAGTGTATCTGTCAATCCAGTTCATTATAATTAAATACAAAGTAAATATTTAATTTATTATTAAAATCAAAATGTTTAATCATATAATTCAAATTGTTTAATCATAAAACTGAATTCTTTATCATACAGTTATAAAACAAAAAGGATATAATTTATTTTATATGTAATATTACATTTTTAACTTATATTATGGTGATTCAAAAGTTTGGGGTCTGAAAGAATTTATGTTTTTGAAAGAAGTCTCTTATGCTCATCAAGGCTGCATTTGTTTGATTAAAAATTTTAATATAAAAAAAAAGGTAAAAATTGTGTTTTGTTAATATAAAAAAGTAATATTGTGAAAGATTATTATGAGTTTTCAAATATATTATATATTATGTTTTAAAATATAATTTATTCCTGTGATGGCAAAGCTGAATTTTCAGCATCGTCACACAATCCTTCAGAAATCTTTCTAATATGATGATTTAATGCTCAAGAAAGTTTTCTGATTATCAATGTTGAAAACAGTTGTACTGTATAATAATTTGCTGAAAACTGCTAACTTTTTTTCAGCATTCTTTGATGAATAGAAAATTCAAAAGAACAGCATTTATTTGGCATGGAAATATTTACTATAACTTCTGTTCAATTTAATATGTCCTTGCTGAATAAATGTATTTCTCTCTTCTAATTAAAAAGACATACCCAAACTTTTGAACAGTAGTAAATTTAACAATAATAATTTTAATTAAACTATTTTTAATTATTTTTTTTAAATAATGTGACAATGTTTAGCATTTTATTTATAAAATAAAAAATGTCCCTTTCTTTTTCATAAAAGGCCTCCTGAGGTTAAGCTGATGAAAGAAGGAGACGGGTATGTACATGCTGTTTGTCTTTGAGAAATGTCATTGTTTAGTAGATGTTTTGCAGTGGAATAACCTTCAGAATGAGTAGTTTGTATAAATTGACTGGAAGTTTATTCTCACCTGTGCACAGAGGCAGCTCAGGACAGGAGATAAAGTTGGTAGACAAGCCTTTAAAAAAAGCCGACATTGAGAATCCCGTCGCAGACATTCCTGAGTCTTACAAAGACTCTCCTCCCTTCAGCCAGAGTGACAACAGCGACATTGAGCAAGACTTTGTCTCCAGTGTGGTGTCCAGACAGAGTAAACAAGCAAGGGTTCACTGGGGAAAGCTGCCAAAGAGGGATGGAGCGAGTGAGGATGAGTCCAGTGCTGAAATTAAGCAATATGCACATCCTGAACCTTCACAAAGTGAAAATATTGATGAAAGTGGATCTTCACAAACTCCTCAACCACAGAAAGACCCAACCGACTGTCTACCTAAACTGGATAAAACCACATCTGCAGAATCTGATATTAAAGGCACTCTGGAGCTTTTGAATCGGTGTAGTCTGAAGGACGCTGCAACCCAAGAGGAAACTAACCTCCCTTCACAGCCTGAGATTGTAAACTCCCTCCCTGCCGCTGGTGCTCTGAACATCACTCAGGTGGGCATGAGTAAGAGAGGAGCTGCAGGCCTCAAAGGATTGTTGAAGGATCATAACAGAGCTAAAACAACTCCTACAGCCGTCAATCTGTGCCTTCTAGAGCGTCTACGACAAACCTTTACGGAGTGGAGAACTGAGGAAACTATGAAGTTTCTTTATGGGCCTGAATATGTTTCAGGAACAGAGGCTACAGCACAGGAGGCGGAGGAACTGGATGAAGATGACCTGGATGAGGCTGAGGTGGAGCTGGGCTTGAGACCGGACAGTGGAAGTTCTTTCACACCCAGAGCTCCTGCTCCTGATATTGAGACACTGCGGAAAGAGACAGCGTCGCTGGGGCTGAGAGTGAGGGAGGTTTATGAAGGAGTGTGTGTTCTGCCTGGAGAGCTTAAGACGGATGCCATCAAAGAGACTGAAGATATACAGGTGAGAACTGAATGTCTGCCTTTCAAATTTCTATAAAAGGTCTTTCACTTTTAAGCTACCCTTCTTGACTTATATTTGCATAGATAATATAATGTTGTAATCAAGCGGCAACCTTCCGATCTCTATCTTGAAAACCAACACGGATGTGGCTCAAACTGCAATTCATCGACTGGCCGCTAGAGACTGGATGCAAAAGGGAGTTAATCCCATAGACCCCCCACATTAATATGTCCAACTTTACAGCAGAAAAAAATGTTTAAAGCCTGGTAAAAAAAAGTGGTTTTGGTCTAATTTTAATCATGACAACTGTGAGGGGGGGTATTTTTTTATAACTCGTCCGTTTAAATTATATTAAGCCTTGAAGTTCTACATAATTAAGGGGGCGTGGCCATTTGAGTGACAGGTGGATTGCCTCTGATGTCACTACTAGCCGTTTGTCTGCTGTTTGTTAGCGTCGCGTCACCTCAGCTAATCCCGCCGCTGCCCATTTTCTGTTATCCGGGAGTGACGCACTACCAAGATGACAACAGCCGGCTCCGCCCACTTTGGGCTTCAAAAATGCTCTTCAGAAACCTACGGGTGATGTCACGGACACTACGTCCGTTTTTGTTTACAGTCTATGGTTGTAATATAATAAAAGTTTTAATTTTATGATGTGCTTTTGTCATTTTTATTATTTTTTGTTTTTAAAAAAGTATTTCCAAATTTTTAGTTTTATTTCAGTTAGCAAATTTCTTACTTCAATTTAAACATATTTCAGCTAGTTGCCACATTTCTAATTTTAGTTTAGTAATTAGTAATTCAATTTTTAAATTAGTAATTTATTTCAGCTTTATTTCAATTAACAGTTTGTTTTATTCCTCAAGTACACACACGTGTAGTTCACATTAACTATGAACATGATCCACCTACTGTTTGAAAACCACAAATACTTTTTTGTGTTCTTTTTTGACAGTATATCGGTTGTTTTATTTCATGACCTAACAAAGGGTTTGTTCTTCTTTTAAAATGGCACTTGATTTTATATCTAAAGCAATGGCATTAATACTTTGCTCATACTTAAAACATCCAAATGCATTTTCTGGCCTCTCATTCTGAACTCTAAACCTGCAGTTACTCTGATTGTCCTGTTGTGGGTGCTTAATTCTAGCATAAGCTTCATGACACCTGGCAGCATCTCTCATTCATTTCTGCATGTTGCATTCTTGATTGACATGCACTCTTTTTCTCATGGGCCTCCAGGAAAGTGGGAAGGACAAGGACCCTCCTCTGCCTTTGGTTGATTCTCATGCACAGCACCTGATTCAGAAACGTATTGTTGTGGAGAAACTCAGCCGGAGGTCAGTGTTCAGCAATGGTTTGTCATTCCAGCTGCTTTAGACACAACTGTACATTGCTTTGGTCACACTAATAATGCATTTGACCTGTTTGAAATGGGTATAAATGGTGCCCTGCATCTCTGTCAAACACCCTGCACTCTGAGTCTTCTTGCATTTTGTTATTTAACATAACTTTCTTGTTTCTTTCCAAAGCTTGAGAGATGTTGTGGGACCCCTGTGTCTAACAATAAGTGATGTCATCAATAACATAAATAATCTGGTCAGGACATTCAGGTAAGCACACTAGATGAAGAGTGAATACTTTGTATGTGTTTTCAAACAGGCGATATACTGTCTGTATGAACACTGTTCAAAATTAAGATTTTCTATTCATCGAGGATGCATTAAATTGATGTAACGGCAAAGAAATGTATAATGTTGCAAAAGATTTCTATTTCAAATAAATGCTGTTCTTTTATGATAAATTATTTCTTGAGAATCAGATCATATTAGAATGATTTCTGAAGGATCATGTGACACTGAAGACTGGAGTAATAATGCTGAAAATTCAGCTCTGCATCACAGGAATAAATTACATTTTAAAATATATTCAAATAGAAAACATTTTAAATTGCAACAATATTTCACAATATCACTGTTTTTACTGTATATTTGTTCAAATAAATGCAACCTTGGTGAGCATAAGAGACTTTCAGACAACATTAAAAAAAATTGTGTATAACGGGGTCAAATCAGTGTTTATGTCTGCCTATCAGACACTCGGTAGACCTTTTTGACCTGAGTCATGACATTTTGAGTTTCACGACCCATAAATTGTGATTGGCCATAGAGGTGTTGTCAACAGGAAGTAGTGTGTCACACTATGAAGATGATTTAGCATGCCTCTGAAGGGTCACTTGAGACTTGGATTGAAGCTGCTTCCAGGAATTCTGTCTCTCCTGTTGAGGGCCACTAAATCTGAGCAACTTCAAAATCATGACACTCATTAAAACAGTTTGACTTTAAAATTGCACTTATTCCCCCATATTTCACAAGTCTTTGACTGACATCAATGCGCATTCAAAATTGTATGGCATTTAAGTCTACTTTTGCTAACGTTGTCCTTTTGTTCCAGGTTTACAAACACAAATATCATTCACAAAAGCCCAGAGTGGACTCTGATCGCCGTGGTTCTTCTGTCTGTGTAAGTATCAAATAAACATTCAATACAGTAAAACTAAGATTTGAATATTTTCTGAAGTTGCCGGGTGGTTTTTGGCTCATCATACCATCGTCCAACCAAAGTTAGGTCTTAACATATTTGGTATCTTTCAGATGTCAAACAGATCTTTAGATTGCTTAAGCTAATTATCTACTAACGCTTGGCTTTGCTCATGCATGGGAAAGTGCCACATGTGTTGGTATTTGCCATGAGAGTCCAGCACGACTGCGCTCATATAAAGGCTCAGATTATTGCAACTGCAGATAATGCCGTGGGTTTATCTGATGATGGCTGTTGTTTGGGGCTTTATGGCTTCTCGCTGTCCTGCTGTGCTCTGACAGTGAAAGTATGTGGTAGACGGATCAACAGCTGGAGGGCCTGGCTTTAACAAGAGCGGACGGGAACAGGACAGAGGAAATCAGGGAGCATTGTTTTCTCTTCAGGAACACACTATGTAAAGTCATAAGACGCAAGTGATTTATGTCCGTGCGAGTGCGTATGATTTGTGTGCATTTGTTTTTGCTCCAAGTTAATATTTATCTACTTGATAAAGATTTGTGCTTCTATTGAGGATTGATTCTGGAGTTTCTAATAGTGAGAGATATTTTCCTGTGAGTCGCAAAACTAGCAAAAACTAAAAAAAAATTGTATTTTAAGTAGTAGTAACAATTTACAATAAGTTTACATTGGTCACACTTTTTATTAGGTGTCTTTAACTACTCGTATTAAAAAAGAATGTTGCATTGCAGAACACTTGCTGCTATTGAGGGGAATACGGGTACGGTTAGGGACAGGATTGGGACTATGGGTTTAAGCTGTAATTGCATACAGGTATTTTTAAACATGCAAGTAAAAACATGCATGTGCACACGTAGGACCATTATATGTGTTAACATTAGTAAACTTTATTGGTTAACATAAACTAACAATGAAAAATATTTCTAAAGCTTTTATTAATCTTAGTTGATGCTAATGTAAACATTTTCTAATACATTATTACATTTAAAAGTTGTGTCTGTTAATATTATTTTAAAGGGATAGTTCACCCAAAAAGTCAAATTAGCCCATGATTTACTCGCCCTCAAGCCATCCTAGGTGTATATGACATTCTTCTTTCAGACGAATACAGTCGGAGTTATATTAAAAAATGTCCTGGCTCTTCCAAGCTTTATAATGGCAGTGAATGGCTGTTTCTTTTTTGCATTAAAGTGCATCTATCCATCATGAAAGTGCTCCAAACGGCTCTGGGGGTTAATGAAGGCCTTCTGAAGTGAAGTGATGCGTTTATAACGTGTTAAATATGAATATTTTTCGTACACAAAGTACAATTCTAGCTTCCGGCCATACGCAGTCTACTTGATCCTAATGCGCAACTTGTGACGTCGGAAGTAGCGTAGTGCGTCATGGCGTAGCGTAAATCTCAGCAATGCGTCGCATTACTCGCAGAAGTTGCGCTTTACACTTAAAGGTGAACTAAGTAACTTTTTTACCTTAACCGAACAGCTTTGGAGTCATTGTAATGTTTATATTACTGATTTCGTGTTGAATGGTCGTCGTCTCGCACGGGCCGCCGGCCTCAGTGTTAGGAAGTATCGTGTGATATCAGGTCTCGCGAGGTAACGAATTGCTTTACGGCAAAAAACAGATCTGATAAAATTCTGATAAAATGAGCATCAAACAGAAATAACCCGGCGCCGTATACATGTGGTGTTGGGCACGCGCAGCTCTTAAAGGGGCCATACCTTATTTCCACTCGTTACAGCGGCCACAGGTACCGGTGTGCAGGGGGAGGGGATCCGGCCGTGAGGGCGAGCCATCTCTGCGCGAGTGCTATTCACGACAGTACAAGTACTCCACAGCGACTCTAGGGGTCGCTGTTTGACAAAAACGGAATTCCTACTTAGTGCTGCTTTAAGTTGAATCCATGTGTTTGTTTGGCCGGAAGCTAGTTATTTTACTTTATAAAGTTTGAAATATGGATATTTTTCTTACACAAACGCATCGCTTCACTTCAGAAGGCCTTTATTATCCCCCAGAGCCATGTGGAGCACTTTTATGATGGATAGATGCACTTCAAAACAGAAACAGCCATTCACTACCATTATAAAGCTTGGAAGAGCCAGGACATTTTTAATATAACTCCGACTGTATTCGTCTGAAAGAAGAATGTCATATACACCTAGGATGGTTTCAAGGTGAGTAAATCATGGGCTAATTTTCATTTTTGGATGAACTATCCCTTTAAGGACCTGAGATAACATGAACTGACAATGAACAGTTGTAGTTTTATTAACTAAAATGAACAAAAATGAATTAATACTTTTAACAAATGTTTTAATTATTGTTGCATTAATCAATTTTTTACCTATGGTTCGGCTTAATTATAATATATTATTATATCTTAGAGATAATGTTTGTATGCTAAATCATTGTCATATGATGTGACTTACATGCAGACAGAAAAATAGAACTCAATGGAAATCAAAATATCATAGAGAGGATCCCTGCAGACCCTCATGACTGTGTCAAAGTCAAAAAAGTCTCAAAATATCAGATCATTTGACCTTTTTATGGCATGGCAAGGTTAGTTCAGGACAGGTTGTAAAATGTCATGTGCTGTGACTCACCAGAAAACTAAATGATAATTCATGATATTGTTAAAGCAAACTTGTACAAAATATTTTTAAATTTGAATATATATTGTAAAACTTTTAGGATGTGGATACTCGCATGCATTAAAGATGTAGGAACATTTTTACAACTTTTTACTTGATATTTACATTTTGCACGTATTTTAAACTAGATTCCTTTGAATCATTGTAAACACTCATATTTGTCGTTGACTGACACAGAATATCAGAATGCTGTCTTGCAGTTCTTTTTAAAGAAGTGTGTGTGTGTGTGTGTGTGAGAGAGATGTTTGTACAGAAGCAGGTGGTGTGTATGGCTTCCGTCAGCTTAATGAATGCTCACTAACTCTGAGGAGAGTTCTGTGCTGCTCCCTGTCTGTGTCAACACAAGCCCGTCTCTTATCACGGCCTGATTGCTGTGGATCCGTGATGCTGCAGGAACAGCATGGGAAACATTCCACCTGAAGAACAAGCACACTTAAACCACTCCCCATTTAAAGATCTGTCCTAAAGACATGGCTCTGATTTATTATTGACTGGCGGGGGGATTTCTTAACCCAATATTAATACATGTAGGCCTATATATGTTTTATAATAACTTCAATTTGGTGTAGAAACAATTTTTCACTCAGAAATTGCTAGTTATTTTCACAATTAATTACACAGAAATGACAAGTAACAGTGAATTAAACCAAAGTCCTGAAAGTCCTCGACAAAATGCATCTCGGACTGCTATTTCAGTCATGCAAGTACAGGATTAAATTGATCAATGATTAGCAACTAATTAGACTTGTAATTAAATTATTCATTGATAAAGCAGCAAATAAATATTTAGATTTTGCCCAGAGAAGTTGCAGTTTCTTTGTGAAAAATATCTTCAGAACACAAACTATTTCTTTATCGATGGGAAAGCTTTTTTTTTTTTTTTTAAACGTTGCATGTTTTATACCTTTATATTCACTAATCGGTGTGTTTCAGACTGTTTTTTGACTGCTCATCTTCATTACGTTCAGAACCCATTTAAGGCTTTCAATCTGTTTATCAGCAGAGGGCCTGTTATTTTCCCTTCATGAATAATTTGGAAGCGCGCTCCTCTGTGCCTTATGTCAGGTGTGCCGCTGGCCTGTGGGCTTTTGTTCAGAGCAGTTCAATAATAGATAAAGCTGCAGAAACTGTAGAACAGGTTGAATCCGAGCTGTTGCAATAACCCTTTTCCTCTTCGAGAGAGAGCTAGGGATGGATGACTCCATGAAAGTGGCATAAAGGCAGGTGTTAATGTGCGCTTAAAGTACTCCAGAGAGATCATCTTTTATTCTCACTAACTTTAGTTTGATTCTGTTTACATGCCAATGGTGCTAAACGCTGTTTGTTTGCTCAGGTTAACAGAAGTGTCACCATTGCTGAAAGAGTCACTGGCAAGTCTGTCTTCGTTGGAGTACATCACCTCTCTCATGAGCGAGCTGAAACTGGAGGACAAAGATCTACACAACCTCGTGCTGCTCTTCAAACCCTGTGTTGCTCCAATAACAATGTACAGCACACACATGTAGAATTTATAATAAAAGCCTAATACAAAGATTGTATGCATCCTTTTATTTTCATTAGTCAGTATTGTATTAATGTAATTAATGATATCTTATTTACTTGCTCAAAATTGACTGACGATGAATCAAATTCAGATTGTGTTGTGCGTCACAGAACATGAACGTAAAAAAAAAAAAAAATCTCCATTCTTAAAAGTTTCTGAAGGATTGTTCTGTCTGAAGAATTGTAGTTGCAAGGTAATGCTCTTGGTGAAGTTTCAGTTGCATTTTGGGCCATAAGGTGGGCCTAATATAGCTTGATGAATGCTAGCAGCTTATGTATGGCTTCAGACAGGATAAAGTAAAATCTTTTCTAAACAAATCTTTTTAACCTTAAAATGCAGCTATAATGCAAAAAAAAAAATCTATTTTTAGATTAAGAATATGTGGTTGGTTAATTTTATGTTTTCGTCATAAATTACCTAAAATTTGAAGCCGATATGTTGTTTGACAGGTACGTTGTTAACAATTGCTATATCTGCAACTACATATATCACACTTTCACAAGAATATGAGTTTAACATTGACGAAATCCGCTTTAGCCTTGATATGTCGTAACATTTTTATCCTAAACCTTTAAAAGGCCTATGTATTTCGAAGTAAAAAATAGTAGAGAACTGGTATTTTATTTGTCCATTTATTAAATATTTTGCAGGGACAAAATATCACAGCTTGTTATAAAATAGCCTACTTGGAATTGTGTAGGAAATCTCTCTGACATCAGCAAATTAATTCGTTATTTTCTTAATCCATAAAACCACAACATTATCCTATGTTCTAATTCTACATAGTGTCACATGCATGTGCAAACAAACAGATGTAAGGGAAAAAACAAAACAAATTTTTTTTTTTTTTTCATTATTTTAGTCCATGCTGCGTTTCTTTGTGTCTCCTCAGGTCTACTTTGCGCTGAAATCCTTTGCCACACAGATCGCATCCGAAAGGCTTGAATCCTGTGTGTTTTCTGCTGTGTGTGATGAGGTTTGAACTCTGACTGAAGGCTTTGCCACACACCTGACACTTGTGTGGCTTTTCACCTGGAAAATATATGAAGGGGTTTTAAGTCTCAACAAACTTTGACTGACGGATAAATCGTATAACTATTCCATTACACAAAATATTTTTGCAAACGCGTGCTCAATGTTCAAGCGGTTCGGCTGTAATAGCCCTAAACTATTGTTTTGTTTTTATCAAAATATAAATCACCTGTATGAATGAACGTGTGTTTCTTCATATCTGATTTCTGGTGGAATCGTTTGCCGCAGTACTGACAGGGATATGGTCTGGTGTCCGAGTGGATGAGGAGGTGCGTGGACAAAGTGGACGACCTCTTGAAACTTTTGTCGCAGATTTTGCAGCTGAAGACCCTTTCCTGTAGGTAAAGAATGTGATTAGTAAGATTTCCCAGACTTATAAGTCTGTAATATTAATAAATGTTGTGGGAATGCAAGCATACTTGTGAATGGACAGCTTTATGTTGCTCCAGGCTGACCGCGTGGCCGAAAGTTTTTCCGCAGATATCGCACGCGAAGGGCCTCGTGCCACTGTGGGACCGCCGCACGTGAACTTCCAACCCATGAGGGGTAGAAAACACCTGTTAACAAACAAAACCATAATTGTTTAGAAGAAGTCAGTTTAAAGTAGTCAGTCGTAATTTAGTTTAGTTTCGTGTGATCTTAAAAAGTATTTTGGTCTAAAGACGAAAAAGCAAATTCTGCATAAAGAACCTTAGGGTTCTGTCAGGGGTTCCAATCATTAGTTTTAATTAATTGTTCATTCATTTTTAATTGTAATAGGCCTACAATTGTATGAATTATTTCGTAAACATTATAGGGGGGAAATTAAATAACCTGTTAAACGTAAAAGTAATATGCAATAATTTAAGAAATTTCTCCTTATAGCAGATATAACCTTTTTGACATAAAGAGTTCTTTAAAATTGAGTCAAGAACCCTATGATTTAGGCTAATTTATTTCAGTTACCTATTACAGTAAAAAAAAAAAAATGGAGTAGAAAAAATGTTCATTCCGACATTGCTAGTAAATTTCACAATTTTAGCTGGGTTGTTTCAACCTGTTTGGGTAAAATATGGACAAACCCAACCGTTGGGTTTGTCCATAGGCCTGTTTGACACAAACGTGGGTTGAAACAACAACAAGTGCAACAATTTGAATTAAACGTGGACTTTTTAAGTAGAAAAACTAAACATTTCTATTAAAACGTATAGGCTATTCCAATAATCTTTGTTTTATTTTTTATTTTAAGGACAAACAGTTGATATACATATATAGCTTAATAATAGAAAATGTTGATTTAGCCTATTATACGCCTACCTTAGTGCATTTTACGCATTTGAACGACCCGCTTAGTTGAAGTCTCCTGGACATAATATCAGACTCCGAATCGATCTCTGCCACTTTAGTTGAAATCTTGAAGTCTGCATAAAAGCCTCTACTATCCAGCAGGTTCGTGTTCAGAGAGCCATAGTCCTGGTAAAATCGGCCGGATTGTGCTGGGTCAATGAGAAGATGGGCACCCGGCCTTCTGTCCATGGCCTCATGCACCCCCATTGATGTCTCTGAATCCGCAGAAACACGGTTGCACGATTGAATGAGGTGTCTTAGCTCGGATGTTGAATGGGCCCAAACATACGGACGGAAAGACAAGTCAAAAGGCTGCGAGTCGTCTGGAGAAGGCAGCGCGCATTTATCCAAATCTAGAGTGAGATATGTTACAAAAGGAAAGCCTCATGAGTATTTTGCATAGACCATGTCACTGTAAAAATAAAAAATAAAGTTGCTGCCTTAAATTTTTTAAGTACAATCAACTTGGATGTTTAAGTCATTTCAATTTATATTACATTAAACAGACTTTAAAACATGAAAAATCTTGTAGGCTTAACTTATTTTGATGAGTTAAAGCAATGTAAAAACATCTGTTGTTATAACGTATTGATCATGTCATGCCAACCTGGAGAGGTTCCGGATGACAGTGGCCTCCAGAAGTCCTCATAGTCGGATGAGCGGTCACACACACTGCCCTCGCAGCTCAGCGGGGACTGTTGAGAGGAGTGATCCGCCGTGCACACCATGCTGGCTTTAGGGGAATGATTACCCACCGGGCTCTCGGGGATCTGCCCCGCTTGACTCTCTAAACCCAATCAAATTCACAATGCATTACCCGTCGCTGTTTCATTAACGCTGTTTTCAATAACGCCTTTCATTGCTTAATTAATATTGATAAATACCTTGGCACGTGAGAAGTTTCTCAATTGGGATGCAGTTGTCGTCCAGGTAACGGGGTTGATGATAACTGTGCGCCCGTTTGCTCTTCACCAAAAATGACCTCGGCATGTTTACTCTCCGTTATCGGGTTCAGGGTCACCAATCACTCACGGCTCTCCAATCCTGCCTGAAAAGTGGATTTCGGCCGGTGTGAAAAAATGCACCTGATCCTCACAGAACTCAGTACAGCAGCAGCAGCAGCAGCAGGTGTGTGTGTGTCAAATCTCTATCCTGCAGCCTTTTTGCAATCAAAACCTCCCAAATAAAGCAAACACGATTTGAAGTCGAGGCACTGCACTCACTGCACAGCGCACTTTGTTATAGGTTCCCACTTGGCAACTTGATCTCAAAGCCTTATTTAGTAAACTGATCCTCTGTCAGCATAATATATATGAGCATCGCGTCACTTCCAAGTAACAGACTGCAAATGGGGCCCAGGGTATTATTGCCAATAACTAATAGGTTTTGTGTCGGTCGTTAATAACCTGATGACGACGAGACTTAAAGAACATCGAATTCTATAGGGAATAAACAATTAGTTTCAAATAATATAGGCTAGCATTTAACACTGCATATTTATTTCCCTAATAATAAGGAAGAAAATGAGACAACAGGCTATTCGGTTTAGCCATATCTGCGTCACGCACACTATTTGCATGCTTATTCGATTATAGATTTATAATAATTTAAATACATTTGTTTAACTGGATGCTCTCTCCACATTTATGTCTTCAGCTTGCACAATTATTTTGGAAAACAACGAAAATTGTTATAAAACGTGACAAACAATTGATTAGTGCAAGAGCATTAATTTGGTACATCCAAAATTAAATAACTGGCTTTTATATTGTCATTGTACTACTAAAGCCAAAATAAATTAGTATAATATTGTCTGGAAAATATTATATGTTTGCCTACTTTTTGACAATATATATTTTTCTGTTCGCTATATGTATAAACCAATAAAACATTATTCATTTTTACCGGTATTTGGATATCAACACTTTTCATAAAAATATTCTTCCAATGCAGCTTTAACGCCTTGAAGCAATGAGCAAAACAAATGAGACAGTGGAAATACCAACTAATCTTTAAAGCGCGTGAAAAAGAAAAGAGCGATTACTATAATTATTATAAATAAAGAAGACGTGCATTTTTCACAAAGCAGCGGTTAAAACTGGGGCTTGAATCGATTTAGGTGTTACATCTCATTATTTCAGAGAGCAGAATGAAACCGTAATATTGTCAAATGTTACCTTTTCCATTGCGTTTAAATTCCATTTTCCATTTTTGTTTTAATTTGAAGTTTCCCCAAGACCCCCCTAACACCCCCTTGCGGGGTCTCTGGACCCCAGTTCGAAAACTCCTGCATTAGGAAACGCGATGTTCTGCCAGCAGCTGCAATCACACTTTAACAGCATTGATAGGCCTCGCAGAGTTTGTATAAACTGAGCTGACACAGCTTCATTAATGCTGAACCATAGAGTCCAGCAGTCAGATCAGATGTTGGAGTGAATGTTCATGGGAAAAACGTCGGCGCACCGGCTGTGCGCAACACATAGACGCGTGAATCTATCGCTAGGCTACTATATCTGGACGTTTTTCCGTATACCGTTAAAATGGTCTAGAAAAGTATGTGCAGAAGTTAAAAAAAAGTTCCAAGCTTACCTCGGCCAGTGCGTCAAGGTAACGTATACTTTATCCAAAGCGACTAATTGAATAGTTATGACACCTGACATGTAATATGACTGAGGTGCCTGAGTCAGGACAGGACTCACCTGTTGCGCTGCTGTTCTCCGCTAGAGATGATGTGACTGCTGCGCGCGACCTGCCTGTCTCCAGCTACAGCAGCGCAAACACGCGCCTTAAATACACATGCTAACTTCCTGAACGCGACCGTGTTTGATCATGTCTCACAGTCACAAACATTACACCTAATTCTCAAAAGTGCCTGCAGCTACCTGACCTCACGCATTCTTATCTCAATTGAAAGATAATCATTCTAAAAACTGCATGTTACGATTTAGCCTGATAGACGCGCAAAGTGATCTAAATCACATTAGGATTTTTGGCTTGTCTGTGTGGGGCGGTTTTATATTTGTCCCAGGTGTGGTTTTCTGCAATTACTCTTCCAGGAATAACATCCCAGCCAACGCTGGGTGTTATTGCATATTCAAAAATACATAAAGAATGCAATTCATAGGCTATACAATGACTTGAATGGCTTCCTCTTTTATGATGAACATTTAATTTTAAATGAAAATATTTGGTTACACTTTATTTGAAGGTGTCCGTGTTACATTGTAAGTATTTAAGTACTGAGTAATAATAATTAACTACACTACATGTATCACTATAGGGTTAGGGTGTGGTTTAGTTGCATGTAATTAAGCACAATGTATAACAATCACTATAGAAACTACAAATAAAGTGTTACCAAATATTTTTTAAATATTTTTATGTATATATATAGCCTATATAATTATTTTTAATTAATAATGAAACGTATATTAAGTAATACTAATTATAATTTATTATTCATTATAAAATAATAATAAAGAAAAGCCTCATTAAAAATAGTATTTCTCTTAGTATATATATTACTGCAGCATTCATCACAGTGTCAAATATGATTTATTTCAGTGCATAATACATTTGTGCAATTTATTGTGTACTAATTCATTTACTTACAGTGACAGTTTTCATAAACCCTATAGCCTATGTTTGAAACAGAAGAGATGAAACCCAGGGCCTAAACACTCAAATACATATTCATTTGACTGAAATCACTGTTGTTCAATCCGAATGGTTTTCAGTACTGGTATCCAGTAGTAAGATGTTTATTGCTGACCATGTAAATGACTAAAAACCTCTTGCAGTGTCACAGTTCTAGAGCTATGTGATGTTTACTTGAATGCAAGATCTAAGAAATTGAACAACCTTTTTTTTTTTTTGTAAGAATGCCTAATCTTGTTGTCACTTTTAAGTGTTAATGGCAAAACTGTCACAGTGAGTCTTTGCTCAGGACACTTGATGTGTTGCAGCATGATTCGCAGCTGGAGCTGTGAAGAGTGGACACTGCAGCAGTGGGTCGAGCTCTTAATAGAACATCTTCACTGCTTCTGGAGACAGGTTGACGGGACGTTAAGGCTGCTGTCCATTTTTAGGTGTCATTGTGCTCCAGAGAGGCAGACGTGGAAGGCTTCAGCGTGGTTTGAGAAAATGACGTAGTACTCTTGGAGAGGATCTGAATCTGTAAAGAACGATCTTGTATTATACAAAAACTACACAGCTTTACACAAAACCTGACAAATAAGGGCTGATGATATTAACCCTGAAGGGATAGTTCACTTACCCCCAAGTTGTTCCAAACCTGTATTCATTTATTTCTTCTGCTGAATTGAATAATAAGGGTAACCAAACAGTTGATGTTTGGGGAAAAAGAAAATACTTTGTGCCTATCAACTGTCTGGTTAAATATCTTCTTTTGTGTTCAGCAGAAGAAAGAAACTCATACAGGTTTGGAACAACATGAGGGTGAGTAAATGAAGACAGAATTTTCATTTTTGGGTGAACTATCCCTTTAAACTTTAAGGTACCAAGCACTAATACATAGATAAGCATATACAGAATTGACCACAGTTGCCACTGAAAGTGACAAAGACGTCTCACATATTTAGGCAAATTTGTTTTTTTGTTTCTGTCTGTTATCTCACATCTGATAGGCCTATAATTCTTAATATTCTGTTGTACGTCTGGATTTAGTGCCTCTCAGATGCCATAGTGACCTGTAGAGTCAGATTTTCACTTTTTTTAGAGGTGTTTTTTATGAATAATAAATTTCATTATAATATTTTATAAGAATATTTTCAAAAAGGCAGGAAATTATGAATTGCAAATATTAATAAGAATAATTCTGCCACTGTGGTCTACTAAGAAATGATCTTATGATGAAAGTCCTCTGTCTTCAACCCCTTTAGATTAAAGCTAATGGCAGTATAAAGAGCAAATGTGAAGCAAAGTCAAAGGACAGACACAGCGTAGTTCTCTCACAGGCAACACAGAGTGTAAACGTGACAAACCTCCTCCTCTTCACATCAAGAACAGGAAACCAAAAGACAGACTTGAACAGACAGTTTGACTGCAGCATAGGTCAAAACTTCAGAAACACTAAGGTCTATATTTCTTTCTCGTCTTTCTTTTAGGGCTGAGCCTTTCTGCGTCTCTTTAGGGAGTACGTGATTGAAATAGCATGAAGCAGCCGTGATAATGGTTTGAGGTTTCTGGGTTCTCAGAGCGTTGTTCACTCTGTCTGATAGTTATGAGAAGAAAGACTGAGATGTATACAAGCTTTCACGACCACAAAGTTATTTCTGAATTTGAGACTATACAGCTCAACCAGAGCTCAATCAGAGATGGCGCATGGCTTAGCAGCTCTTTTAAAAAGGAGACATTGATTATATCCACACACATCGCTCAATTCAAAACCATGCATGTGAGAATTACTGACACGAAGGTGTCTTAAACTCAACAGTGTTATATTTCTGCATCAATAAGGACTTATTCAAAATCTTCTACTAACACAAAAAGGTTGTAACTACAAGTTTATGAGCCAAACACTGTGCTATCAGTATAAAACAGGTTATGAGAAATAAGTATCAATCAAATTTAATCAGACTGGTTCCCCTTACCACCAACGAAACCACAGAAAATCAGTCAGAGAGCAGGGGGTGTTGAGGGGGCGCTCGCACCTACAGGTTATCTGATAGCGGCAGTTTCTCACCAGACTTTAAACTACTGACAATGTTTCTGTTTGCTTCAGATAGGAAAGAGTAGGAGACTTCAGGGCAAATTTATGTGTCAGAATCAAAACAACTGGACAGTTCCTCTCGGTAATTTGGTAAAAATCAAACTTCTTCATAGTTGTTGGAAATGAAAGCCAGCTATAGGCATTAAACAAGTTGTTTTTGTCCAAAGAAGTGTGTGTGTTATCTGTTGCGATAGTCATTTGTCATGAAACTGCTCTTAGCCTTAAAATGCATTCAGGTCTTTTTTTTAAACGGGAGGAGGAAAAAAACACTATAAAGTTTTTAAAATACATTTAGTCTCTTTCCCATATCTAGCAAACACGTTTAGGACTGAATTTTGTCGATGAACATGAATATGCGTAGACAAACACACTATAAACAGACAACAAATGTAAGTGACATAAAAAATAAACAATATCAAATGAACTACAGCCAAAAGAAGTGTGGAGCAAAGGTTAAATGTTGGGCTGTCAAATTAGCCTATATGAATATGTGTGTGTGTACATATATGTAGTATATGTGTGTGTGTGTGTGTGTGTGTGTGTGTGTTATACTGGTATAATTCTATGTTCGTATCAAATTAATTTAATTATATATTTAAATCAAATTTCTCAAAAATATTGATAAAAATATGTTTTTCTTGCATCACACAGGTTTTTCTGTAGATCAAATATTATTTGAGATTTTAAAATATATATATATTTAGTCTAGTAATTACATGATAATAACATGCAAAACTTTGAAATATAAGCTTGTGTTCCACCGGGTCAAAACTGACCCTGAAAGCGAGAATAAAATAGGCTGCAGCTTTTTATGCATTTACAAACCAGTATAATACTGACAAAATATAGGCTTTTTTTTTTTTTACTCTGTAGGAAATCACAAACTAAGTTTCCAGAACAGATGATTCATACATATATACTGACTGCTTGTTTGTCAGATGGCTTTATTCCCTTCTTGTTGCACCATGTGAACAGCAGTTTATCTCACTAGCACCTTTCTGACAATACTTTGTGGCAAGACAATAATGAACCAGGCCGCACGGTTAACCGGTTACAATGGGAGGAGGTCTTCCGTTATCTTTGTAATCAGCTATGCTCATCGTGAACCTGCACGCCAGGGTTTCTGGTTGTAAATCTACTGAACAGTGGGGTGCTACAAATCACATGAAGGCAGACGTGTTGAGAGGTGCTAAGAGTTTCCTGGCCATTGTGTGGCTATTTGAGAAAATGTTCTCTCAATAAGGAGAAGTTTGGCTCCACAGCATGTGTGCATGATCATGGCTCTGACGGCTTATAGGGACACGTGTATTTGACTAATTTTATTTCAAGTCAGAGGTTTCGTTTTGGTTGCACTGTGTCTTGTTGTGCTCCAGTAATTAGCGTTAGCATGTCTGTTAGCTTAACTGTGTGGCTTCTGACACACTGACAGCAGAGTACATTTGTAATCTGTGGTCTTATTGGAGGACTAATTTGTCTGGGTACACCACCTCGGCTAGACGAGATGTGTAAAACGTGGCTAGCAAGTGACAATCAAAATTTAGAAAATCTGATGATTGCAAACGACAGACTTTGTGCTTTCGTGCAGATTTCCATGCTTAAAGTCAGCATGAAATGAAAATGTGCATATTGCAAATACGTATATATATATATGTATATATATATATTATATAATATATATTTTAAAAAAAATTAACTCGTAATGTTTAGTCAAAATGTCATAACTCTGTTTAGGCCCAGTTCACACCAGGAACATTAACTATAAAGATAACTATTGTGATTAACCCTTTAAGTGTCACCCCCCTTTTTTTGAATATACATGAAAATGCACATTTCGAACTTAAATGGTTGTAATTCAAGAATGCTTTGGAATATAGACGTAAGATTGGTCTTGTTTTAAAGAAGATATTTGGCAGATTTTTGTAGAAGTGAAATAAATTAAGAAAGTGAAACAGAAAAAAAGTTATAGAAGTTTGAGTTTATGAAAATGTACAATGTAAAAAATGTAATTATTCATATTTTATATAAAATATATATTTTCAAAACCTGGGCGACTCTAAAACTGCAAAAAAATCAAAGCCAAAAATCTGAACATGTGTTTCAAATTTTAGGTTGATATCTCAAAAAATGAGCTTTCAGTAAGATTTTGTTTGGGCGCAGTACCAAACTTTTTCACTAGATGACAACCAGACTCCATCACTGCCCATATAAGGGCACCTCCATTTCCATATGTGTTTTGAGTGATATGAACCATTATTTCCACAATTTTCATACAATTTATGAAGTAGACATCCTATTCAGAAGTAATATGAGAAGTTTGGCAGATTTTGATATGATTTCAACCTCTAAGAAACATAAAAAGAACACGCATGTGCGTTTTAGCTTCCTGCCACATCATATAATTTTTTTCTTTATATAAAAAAAAAAATTCAGACCTTTTTTTTTTAAATAATTGAATGGATGCTATCTTTTGAACTCTTGGCATGAAAACAAACTGAGGTTTCTACCCTTCTTTCATGATTTTTCATGTTCATCACTATTTCAAAATAAAGGTCTAAGAGTATGAAAATATTATTGTTGCAAATTGATAAATTACGGCCCCTGTGTAATTTATTTTGAAAATCAATCACCAAATATGGAAACTAGAGATTGTAAGCTTTCAAATGATATATAGTTTGTCAAGATTAGTTTAGGTTTAGTATAGGATATTACTGTTTTAAAAATGTAAAGGATTTAGGCCCACCGGTGGGCCCGTGACACTTACCGAACCAACATATGACAATGTTCTGTTTATTATATGCACATGCCATATTTTTTTGTCTGCCACATTGCCACATATGCTCTAGCTCTTTAAAGCAGGATGGATTCTGATTGGCTGTCAGTGTTTTTATCGTTCATCAGCTGGAAAAAATGATATTCTTCTTTGTTATTATCGTCATAGCTGTGGTGTGGACTTTTCTATTCTCAGAGAATTGGAAAGATTTTTTTTTTACTTTATAGTGATCCTTAGAGTTAACATCCTTAGTCCGAATAAACGGGCCTCTACTCAGATGTATGTCAAGAAAAGATGTGTCACTTCCTCAATTTCATTGCGACTTTAAACCTTTAAAGTGATAGTTCACAGAAAAATGAAAATTCTGTCATCATTTACTCACCTTCAAGTTGTTCCAAACCTGTATGAGTTTCTTTCTTCTGCTGAACACAAAAGAAGATATTTTGAAGAATGCTGGAAACCAGACAGTTGACTGTAGCCATTGACTTCAATAATATTTTTTCCCTATATGGAAGTCAATGGCTACCGTCAACTGTCTGCTTCCCAGCATAATTTAATCTTCGTTTGTGTTCAAGAGAAGAAAGAAACTCATACAGGTTTGGAACAACTTGAGTGTGAGTAAATGATGACAACATTTTAATTTTGGGGTGAACTATCCCTTTAATTTCACTGAAGCACAGCAAAGGATGCAAACAGGCTGCTACAAAAGCAACAATGTCAGCAGTGAAGTAACATTCAGTGCTTTGAAATCAGGTTTAAAGTCATCTGAATCTTTTCGTCTACCACTATCACACTAGACTAGACCATCCTGCAGAGAACTCTTTTAGAGCAACATTAATGCAAGCAAGCATTTGTTTCAGATTACTGTTAAGTGAGATACAGTGTTGGCATTTTCTTGCAAAATCACTTCTGCATAAAAGAGCTGATAGACAAGTGTGATGTTTAGGCCTGGTCTGAGTGTGCGAACTACGCAAGCATCTGAAGACTCTGCCAAGAGAGTGAGAAAGATGTTATCGTAGCTTTGCTTCTAGAAAAAGCAGAAGAGACCGTTTCCCTCCAGGCCGTTTGGGTGATCAACAGACAGGCCACTCTTGCACGTAGTCATGTGTGATGAATAAATGGAACAGTCGCTGATCTGAGCTTTACCCTGTCTTTTTGTTTGTGGACTGTGATTAGCTTGTGATAGGCTTGTGTGTTGGGAGGTGCTTTCATTTCCTCTACTATTCCGGGTTCATTTTAACACATATCGTTTATGTTTAATGGTTTCATTTTTGAAACATCGAGTATTTTAATGTGTATGATTGGCCCCATTCATGTCCCTTGTAAGTGTCTTACTGTTAGCCAGAAAAGTGTGACTTATTGGAAACAATCTTTTGTGGTAATCAACATTATGCCCCACCCCTCAATCCCGTCAACTGAGGTTAACTTGCACTGAACCCAGAATAGTCCTTGAACACAGAGCTGGGATGAGTGAGAGAAGTTTAATGATGCTCGTGGTCCAGGATTAATTTAGCCTGAAGGAAGTCAGCGAGGGTAAATGACACTGTAATTAGACACCTCCAGACTGTCAAATAGCAGATGATGTCAGGTGTGGTGTTACCTTGCATTGAAGAGCTGAAAACTGTTGTCTGCTCTGTTGTAATTGGCCGCGCAGATCTTGGTTCTGTGATGTCAACTCCTGTAGATGATCTCGCTGACTGTTTATATGCGCTTCTGTACGCTTTAGCTGGTCGCTGTGAATTTTGTCCTGTAGTGATGTAATCAAACAGATCAAATTAGAGCAGCCTTTCTCAAAGTGGGTGCCGCGGCACACTGGGGTGCCCCCTGACTTTGTCAGGGGTGCCGCCAAAAAATTACGTAGGCTAAATATATATATATATATATATATATATTTGAATTTACATAAATACATTCTTCTTCTTTTTAAACATATGAACGTATTAATAAAATTGTAAATTCATTTTAGATAAATATATATATATAAATTTTAACCATAAAAATCCGTCTCACAAGACCGAAGCAAGACACACACACAACTTGACACAAGTGACGCAACCCATAGCACCGCGTTATAGCAACAACACCGACCGCGCGAACGCGCGTCACACAGCAACTGCAGGCTCTGACAAACACACATACAAACTATACTATACTTCTGCATAACGTGTCTCTTTTTACAACAAAAATGTGAATTCTGCCGGTATTCAGACAGTCCCATGCATACAGATAGATACAGATCCGGCCTACAATCGCCTACGTAGGCGAAATTTGTTTGACATTTCTAATCGTAAACACAGCCATGTTGAAGCCTGCAGTAATGTTTTTCATTGATGTTATGGCAGTCCACTCTGCTTATTGTTTTTCGAGAATCTTGCACTCCTGTTTGTCATTGTGCACGAAACTTCATGCCAATAAATCATCAGAAATATTGCTGACTTGTGCGCGTCTCAAGCGCACTCTTTACGCTCGTGCTAATGCCTGTTAGTTGTCTGTGGATTTGCCTACATTTGGCGCTGAAAATGGAAACGTCTTTAGACATGGAAAATCGATTTTACAATCGATTCAATGAACGTTTATGTCTCAAAAATCGATCAGGATTTTTTCACAAAAGTGATAGCCCTGTAAAGTTGTTATTATTGTTATTGTTATTTACAGTTCGTATTATGCTCTGTTCATTACTGTTCTGTCTAAATAAACAGGACATTTGCATTTACATTTGGGTTATGCAGTGTTTTTAATTTATATTTTACACTGGGGTGCCTTGAGATTTTATGCACTTTTGAAAGGTGCCCCGACTGAAAAAAGTTTGAGAAAGGCTGAATTAGAGGACTGAATCGAGTCACATTTAATGTGAGGATATAGTTTAGCATTGATTTGCAGTACTAACAGTGTAAGAGATTTCAGTTTGTCAGAATCTGATTTAAGAGTCATGTCTCATGATCCCCTAGATATTTCAAAACTGTAATGTTTCCCAATCAGAGATAAGAATAATTTTGAAATCTCAGGATGTTTCATCATGACACATAGCAATGACAAATTAAATTCTCAAATTGGTAATTGGAAAATATATAGGCCTATACATTTGAATAAAATAAACAAACACACAATTAACATAATAACTAAAAAGTTGTTGGGTTATACCGGTATCTGAAAAAGTGGAAAGAGGACAAATACTGAAATATTTAAATGCAGCTCATTAAAGTTTGATTTATAATAAATGATTATGAGGTAAAGAAATAAAAAGTTTGAATTAACTTTATTAAACTAAATAATAACCGTTTTGTCATGCAGTGCCATTTTTAATGTTCCTAGTTAGTTAATCACTGGGATTTATTAATTCCCCTATCCTCACCGCAAAGGCATTTATGGATAATTTAAAAGTTTATTAAAAAACGAATATTTCATAGACATATTTCACACTTAATTCGGTCCATGTATCCCAAACTTGATTGTTTTGGTAAGTAGGCCGAACATAGAATATTGTTTTAAATATTTTTGATTCACTGTTTCATATTTCTTTTTTTTTTTTAAATTAACTTTTATCCATTTTCAGGTTTAAATTACCTAATTTCCAACGTGACATATTGAACCTGTAGTCTGACATTCTTGTGGTCCCAATGAGGAAAACAGCTTATAGCTAAATATACTGTGTTTTTAAAAATGTAAAAATGCAGAAATTGTACAGTATAAAAATGATTATGTCTATGGAAAGACAAGTCCCCATAAAACATGAAAACATGTTTGTGTGTGTGTGTGTGTGCGCGCGATCTTTTCCTCATTGTTGTAACGTTAGCTCACGAATTTCCGTTATTGCGATATGTTTAGGACCCTGACTGTAGCAAGTTTGAAAATCTCAAAAACTGATAGCGGTAACTTCTTTTTGTTTCCAGATAAAGACAACAAGAACAAACTGTGATCTGTCATCCATTCTATCACGCATCACGACTGAAGCGAAACGGATTGCGCAATTCACACTGCGCTGTTGCCTTGATCTGCGTCGCTGTCAGCGGCTCGTGATGCACAGTGCTCGCACGAATGCTTTGTCAAGGCGGCTCGCTTCTTTTGACTAGCGCAGTTTAATTTTCACACTTTAATGGCTAATTTATAGCTCTTGAAGAAGGACTATTTCAAAATGTAGATCAGTAAATAGGTGAGAGAGACGTCCCAATTCGCGTAGGCCTACATATGCACTTTATGCTGTTTTGTAGTAGCCAAGGCAAGTGTGACGTATTCACACTGAAAATTCTGAATAGAAAAAGTGCACTTCAAATACCCGGGTGATGCACTTAACCGAAATAAAGACTGCTAAATAAGTAGGCTATGTTCTATATGAATATGTATTTATGTAACTCTTACGTAGCCTAGGCTACTACATCCACCATTCTGTCATTATCATGTGACACCAGTGTCAGTTACGATGCTTAACTGCTGCAGCTGCGTCCAAAATCGCATACTGTCATGAATACTGTCTTATTTTGAGTAAGTAATACTTTCCGACCGTTAAAAAAGTAATCTGGACATACTACATTTGCCATTTTGTTATTATCATGTGACCTACTACCAGTGTTGCTTCACTGTCATTCACTTCCTCTCCAAGTGGCCTAATGGGATAGTAAAATGCACACTTCAGAATCTCGACAGAAGTAGTAACGTTAGGTCATCCGGATACTTTTTGCCCAGGGCCGGATTAACCATTAGGGCAACTGGGCACTTGCCCAGGGGCCCACGACATCTAAGGGGCCCTGGGCACCACGGGCGGAGTGGCAATCGGAAGAGTCGGGAGTTTCCCCGGTGGCCCGGTAGTGTTTCGAGGCCACGAGGGCCGGTCTGATAAAATGTATTTTAGAGAACGGAGCGTATATTTGCACTAAGTGCAAACTTTTAGCAAAAAGACGCCTGTCACGGAATAGCTGCAGTGGCGTAGGTCGTAGCGCGAAAAGTGCACGAAAGCACTTTTTGATGCGCTCGACCCGAGTTCGAATCCGCCTTTTGCCGAACTCTCTCTCCCTTTTCCCAACACATATGAGATGTAAAATGTATAACCTAACATAAAGGTCTCAAGCGTTATATTTTGCCAACGAACTAAAATCGAAACCATGATAAGGCTTTGTGCCTTTATAAAACAGCATTAGACTTTAAGAATAGACATCCTGTTTGTGCTGCGTGATTTAAAGAAAAGTGCGCTCTTTGCTCACGCGATCAGCATGGTTATCTGGTGTTTTCTCCTAAATAAAAGCTCAAGGGTTTATTTCTTGCAAGTGAAGAAATTAGGACAAAAGCATTTTAATTTTCCTGTATTATAGTGTAATGTAGCCTAAAATATACTTTTGAAATATTCATTTTCATTTATATAGTACATTTTATAGGCTATATGGATTTTACGTCATAGGAATAATTATATAAATCATTATTACATTATTTTAATAATTGTTTGGCATCCTAAAACACCAGTGATAATGTAATGTAGACTTGAGACTCTATATGTCATAACTAAAAAGATGTTTGAGCCCTCTTTATTGTCCTGGTGCAAATCAATGCTTTTTCTTTGTTCAACGAGCAGTTCATGGGTTGAAGCTAATTTTGATCTCTCAAAGAGCACGAGATTGATGCATTTAACCTTAAAATGTACAAAATTTTCTTGCGGGGGAGCATGCCCCCGAACCCCCCTAGAGGCACAGAGGTCCACCCAACATAGTTTTACAAATTCCTATGGGAAAGAACGACCATTTATGAACTTTAATCCAGCATAGTACAACAAAGTTCCTTTTAAGTCAGTAAAACTGTAAATGCAATATTAAAATGTCCTTGGACAAAATATACATTTGGCCTGCCTAAGGGGGGGCCTACAAGACATTGTGCCCAGGGGCCTCTGAACTCTTAATCCGGCCCTGTTTTTGCCTACTCTTTTATGAGTAGGCCTATACTGTGAATTCGGACATACTTCTTTTGTCACATAGGCCTACTGTTTTTCGCCTATTAGCCTATATAGGAGGAAAAGTGTGCGATTTCAGATGCAGCCTAAGTGTGGAGGTTGGCTCATCAGGTGCATCTTTAATTACATCACACTACATGGTTGAGTACACAGTGTATAAGTGCATAGTGTGTCTTTTGGGATCACTTTTCAGCGTGCCAGTGCATGCATACCATAGCTGCCGACTATATATTTTATAATATCGTATATTAATATACATTGTACTATAATTAATTCACTTTAAGTCACCATGAGATCAAAAATGTTCTTCTTTTTTGATATTGCAGTAGGCCTATTTATTATAAATGATTTTTATAGATAGATTCACATCATTATTATTTTTTTAAATCCATGTGCCCAAAATCTTTAAAGGGTTAGTTCACCCAAAAATGAGTACTGTGAATTCAGACATACTTATTTTGGTACATACTGTTTTATCGCCTACTACATAGTAGGGAAGTATGAATTTTCAGATGCAACCAGATGGTTGTGGTTTGCTATGTGATGTCATGTGAGTGACAGGTTGTTGCTGCCTTTGTACAAGTAAACACGTCATCAGAGAAAGAGATGAGATGCTACAAGAGTGAGGGGAGGTAAAAAAAAACTGAGAAGAAGTGATTTTTGATTAAAGGGTTAGTTCACCCAAAAATGAAAATGATGTCATTAATGACTCACCCTCATGTCGTCCCAAGCCCGTAAGACCTCCGTTCATCTTCGGAACACAGTTTAAGATATTTTAGATTTAGTCCGAGAGCTTTCTGTCCCTCCATTGAAAATGTATGTACGGTATACTGTCCTTGTCCAGAAAGGAAATAAAGACATCATCAAAGTAGTCCATGTGACACCAGTGGGTTAGTTGGAATGTTTTAAAGCATCGAAAATACATTTTGGTCCAAAAATAACAAAAACTACAACTTTATTCAGCATTGTATTGTCTTCCGGTTCTGATGTTGAGCCGTGTTCAGTGACGCTGATGACGTAAGACGCTGCTGATGTGTAATCCGGTGCGCCCGAGCTTCGTTTACAGTCTGAGGGAGACGCACGCTGTAAACAAAACAATCTTCGCAAACATGTCTAAGGATTTCGACACAGAGGAAGACTTGCATTTTTTTGCCCAGCCATATTTATTTGAACTCGAATACACGGACGCACCAGATACACGTCAGCAGCGTGTTACATCATCAGCGTCACTGCGGACTCGTGAACGCGGCTTGACAACAGAACCGGAAGACAATACAATGCTGAATAAACCCACTGGTGTCACATGGACTACTTTGATGATGTCTTTATTTCCTTTCTGGACAAGGACCGTATACCGTACATACATTTTCAATGGAGGGACAGAAAGCTCTCGGACTAAATCTAAAATATCTTAAACTGTGTTCCGAAGATGAACGGAGGTCTTACGGGCTTGGGACGACATGAGGGTGAGTCATTAATGACATCATTTTCATTTTTGGGTGAACTAACCCTTTAATCAAAATCACTTCTCCTCAGTTTTTTTTTTTACCTCCCCTCACTCTTGTAGCATCTCATCTCTTTCTCTGATGACGTGTTTACTTGTACAAAGGCAGCAACAACCTGTCACTCACATGACATCACATAGCAAACCACAACCATCTGGTTGCATCTGAAAATTCATACTTCCCTACTATGTAGTAGGCGAAAAACAGTATGTGACAAAATAAGTATGTCCGAATTCACAGTACTCATAAAAGAGTAGGCAGAGTACCCGGATGACCTGCTTCTTCCGGCGAGATTCTGAAGTGTGCATACGACGGACACTTTACTATCCCATGAGGCCACGGACGAGGATTTGCGAATATCAGAGAAGCGACATAACTGACGCTGGTAGGTCACATGATAATGACATCATGGCGAATGTAGTACGTCCAGATTACATTTCACAATTTCATACTATATAGAAGTAATTACTTATTCAAAATAAGTACAAGAGAGTATGCGATTTTGGACGCAGCCTATCAATTCTCGATGGAAAAAATCAAGTCCCGTCCTAAATTTTTTCTTGTTCGAGAAGCCATTTCACTCAAATATACGTCAAAAGAGGGGTGCAAAACACAACTTCTGATTTATGCCGACTTTATACCAAAGTGTATTGTAGTGTCATATTTGACTTGACACCAGTTCCAGGAGTAAGCGACCCAAACTAAGCTTTGCTTGCTCTATTGTTCCTCATATCGCAGTGCATCAAGCTGTAAACCAGCAGATATGATCAGCTGCGGGTTTTAACCTCTGTCTGCAGCTGCAGCAGTTTGTGGCGGCTCTCTTTAAGAGTGGCCTGGGTGAGCGCTTCCTTCAGTCTTGTGCTCAACAGCTCCACCTGCAGGTCATTCTGTGCACTGCTGACCTTCTGCTGACCTCCACAATGCACCTGCTGCCACTGAGAGAGACACAGTGACATTGTGATGAACCTAACTTATGGTAGCCTATATTTAACACGGAATATCCTCTTTTTTTATATCCCCATCCAAAGTTACCTGCCATTTCTTTACCAGGTCTTTAATGTGCTGTTTCAGCTCTTTGAGCCCTGTAAGTGCCTCTGCTTCCCGCAGTCTACAGCTGATCAGCTCCGTCTGCAGATACATCACACTGTTCTCATCAGGCACAGTGCTGCTGCTCTACAACACACACACACACACACACACACACACACACACACACATTTATGATTACTAAAGCAAACCCACGTCTGTCTAAACATCAGCAAATAGTGATATCTAAGATTCTTTAGCTCACTATACATAATAGAGTGCTGAAGGGATGATGGTTTTTTTGTAGGCCAAAACCCAGAAACAAACATTTGGGCACTTCTGGTTTAATCGTCCTGAAGTTTTTTGAATGGGCATTTTGGTTAAATGGCTGAGATAAAGTCTGTGCGTTAAGCTCAGGATATTTTCCTGTTTTATTCCATGACACCAGTAATACCCCCTTGTGATTTTTTAAGCTTTTAATTTGTCCTGAAAAAGTCAGTTTCTAACAAGTAGCTAAATGTGACAGAGCTTGTATGGGACATTAAACATCACGCCGAACAGATTCTCTTATAGTCTGCTTTATTTGCTCTTGCAAACTATTCTATTTCACTGTATAAGTTTAGTGTTAGTGTTAGTTTCACTAACTCAAACTTTCAGGGATATATATATATACACTCACCTAAAGGATTATTAGGAATACCTGTTCAATTTCTCATTAATGCAATTATCTAATCAACCAATCACATGGCAGTTGCTTCAATGCATTTAGGGGTGTGGCCCTGGTCAAGACAATCTCCTGAACTCCAAACTGAATATCAGAATGGGAAAGAAAGGTGATTTAAGCAATTTTGAGTGTGGCATGGTGGTTGGTGCCAGACGGCCCGGTCTGAGTATTTCACAATCTGCTCAGTTACTGGGATTTTCACGCACAACCATTTCTAGGGTTTACAAAGAATGGTGTGAAAAGGGAAAAACATTCAGTATGCGGCAGTCCTGTGGGCGAAAATGCCTTCTTGATGCTAGAGGTCAGAAGAGAATGGGCCGACTGATTCAAGCTGATAGAAGAGCAACTTTGATTGAAATAACCACTCGTTACAACCAAGGTATGCAGCAAAGCATTTGTGAAGCCACAACACGCACAACCTTGAGGCGGATGGGCTACAACAGCAGAAGACCCCACCGGGTACCACTCACCTCCACTACAAATAGGAAAAAGAGGCTACAATTTGCAAGAGCTCACCAAAATTGGACAGTTGAAGACTGGAAAAATGTTGCCTGGTCTGATGAGTCTCGATTTCTGTTGAGACATTCAGATGGTAGAGTCAGAATTTGGCGTAAACAGAATGAGAACATGGATCCATCATGCCTTGTTACCACTGTGCAGGCTGGTGGTGGTGGTGTAATGGTGTGGGGGATGTTTTCTTGGCACACTTTAGGCCCCTTAGTGCCAATTGGGCATCGCTTAAATGCCACGGCCTACCTGAGCATTGTTTCTGACCATGTCCATCCCTTTATGGCCACCATGTACCCATCCTCTGATGGCTACTTCCAGCAGGATAATGCACCATGTCACAAAGCTCGAATCATTTCAAATTGGTTTCTTGAACATGACAATGAGTTCACTGTACTAAAATGGCCCCCATAGTCACCAGATCTCAACCCAATAGAGCATCTTTGGGATGTGGTGGAACTGGAGCTTCGTGCCCTGGATGTGCATCCCACAAATCTCCATCAACGGGAAGATGCTATCCTATTAATATGGGCCAACATTTCTAAAGAATGCTTTCAGCACCTTGTTGAATCAATGCCACGTAGAATTAAGGCAGTTCTGAAGGCGAAAGGGGGTCAAACACAGTATTAGTATGGTGTTCCTAATAATCCTTTAGGTGAGTGTATATATATTATATAAAGACTGAAAGATTTGTTGGAAGCTTAGTGGTGGTGATGTTGAAGTCATGTGATCGCGATGTTAGCTTTTTACTTCTGGCGATAATATTTAGGCTTCAAAATCTCTTATAGTTGTATTCGTTTGTGAAGATTATCCCAATGAACAAATGTTCAGGAATCAAACTTCTACTTATGACACTGACAGAGCTTATTTTCTGCCATAGAAAAATCCAATTGGGTTTTTGTTGAGGGAACCAAGGTGACTTTCGAGTTGGCCTACAAAAATATTCAATCTCCCTGGCACTCTTTAACTGTGCTTAATGCTTCATGTTAATGAATGGAAAACAGGGGTTTGTATGAAAGATTGGACTTGACTTTGACCTCTTCTATCTGCAAGGTGTTCGTCTGCATCTCTTTTAAAGTGTTTTGTGACCTGGCTGCATTTAGCAGAGATTTCTCCAGCTCTTTCTTCATCTGCGACACCAGTTGCTCAGAGCACCTCTGGAAGGGCGGCACGGTATAAGAACATGAACATTAACATAACTTTAACATAAAGGCACTGCAATATACTCACCTTCTCCAGAATGTCAAGTCTCTGCTTTAAATGTTTGTTCTCTGAGGAAAGTCCCTTAAGAAAAGGCAAGAGAAAAACTGAGCACTTGCAAACAGTGGCTCAAAATGGCGATTCATAACCTAAAGACAGATCGTTTACTGCTGAGAAATACGGTGAATTCAGGGTAATTGGGACACTTTTGCCATTGAGATGACTTGGAAAAAGTGTCCCAATCAACCTGAATTTGCCAATGTGAAGGGAAACAAACAAGCACTCACATTTAGTTCCTCCTGATCCTCCAGCTCTTTAGTCTTGATAGATGTGTACTCTTTTCTCAGTCTAAAATGAGTGAAATACACCAGATAACAGGCTAGAAGAACAAGGAAAATTAGGCAAAAATTGAAGGAAGAGCTTACTGTTTCATTCTGCCGGAATTGTATTTAATTTGATATGCTGCTTCAATCATCCCATCAGGATCTGATTCCCATGATTCTAGATTCTGCAAGCACTGAAAACAACAGAATTACTCTGAAGACCAAGACATTCAAAGAGGCAGTATTTCAGAGCAGTGTTTCTTTGGAGTGCTCCATTACGTTCATCATTCCCTCTGTATCGAGCTTGATGAGTTCTGCCTGCTTCATGTGAAGCACAGCCAAACCAACCCGGAAGACGATCTCCAAACCCTACAGACACATGCGTATATATCATCACTCATATCGTCCATTTAAGTGCATGTTTAGATGCTAGTGGCAGTGTTGTTATTGTTAAAGGTGCTACATGTACTTTTTAGCGGCCTCTATCGGTGATGTTTCAGATTGCAACCAATTTTTACAAGACGGCTCGTGGCGTGCTCTTGCGCGTGCTCGAACACAAGAGCGAGCACTCATGGTACCGGCCACACTGAGACTTTCAACACACTGGAGAAAGCATCACACAACATGCTGGAAACTCATGTAAACTCCCACTGCAACGTTACAATAATAGGCTTTTATCAGCTTGACGTTGAACTAATGCTTCATGCTCGTACCATGATAACGTTACATTGACTGCATTTAGCCGGCATGTGGTGTTAGCATAAGGCATTTCACTAACTATTCGTGTATATTTTACAATCAGGCAGCAATGTCAACATAGATGAATGTATAATATGATAACGAAAACGGTTAGTGACTAGACTGAACAATTTCAGTGTAACAGTAAGATCGTAGGAAGTAACATTACTGTACTGAACGTGTCTGGAAATGTGTATTATAAACAATATGATAGTAGTGGGATGAGTGACGTTAGACAGTAGATCTAGTACATAAAATAAAAGGTACATCCCCTAGAGCACCTACTTTTTGTTATCCTCATATCTCATGTATGTTGTAGTTTACCTTGCTATTTCATTACAGTTTACCATTATTTATTTCAGCATATCTGAAAACTTGTAATTTATCACAATAAAAATAGCGGAGGTCTCTCCATAATTCAAGCGCTCTGTCGATGTTGATCTGTGTTTTCGTCCTAAGTCGATCCGATTCACGTTTGGCCTGACGAGCTTCAGCAGATACATTTTTGTTTTGTTTTTTATAATTATGTGGAGTCTGTGTTGGAGTCTGTGTTGTGCTGGAGGCAGGTCGTTTTTTGGTGTTATCAGACTCCATGTCGTCAGCCGCAGTGCCGTCGCATAGACTGTATATAAAAAGGAGAGAGGCTCGGGAGCGCGCATGCACGTCACATCCGATGGATTTCGCAGAAAATCCGACCCGGAGACTTCACATAGAAATAGGAATACTGGCCTTCAGAGGTAATAGCAAAACCCGACAAGTGGATCATTGTAATGTGTGATTACAACCCCTTCACACACAGGCAATAAAAAAAGGATTCATTTTAGAAGAAAAGTTACATATAGCACCTTTAACTAAAATAGAAATCTTTTTAGGTAATTGAAATAGTTCAATTAAAATATAAATATGAAAAATATATACTGATGTAAATAAATAAGTTTAAATTGAAGTACTAAATTAGATTAAACTAAAGATGAAAAATTCAAGTTAAATAGACAAATAAAACTAATAAATATGATAAAATCACATAACAATAACAATAAAATGACAAATAAAAGCTAATTCAGAATATTAACAAATACTTTAATAGTAGTATAAATAATAATAAAATACTTATCTAGCTCATCTAAAAATATTAGCTTATCTATTTCATATAGATATGAAATATGACATTCAGTGTGAAGTGATGGGTTATGGTGGGATGTTGTGACGTGACTGAATGTACCTCACACATGAAGATATCAAAAGTCCTCATGGCCGCTGTGATAGGCAGAGATGAGAGGAGGATGTTGAGAAACCAGGATGAGGAGAACATGGAGGTGTGAAAACCCTGAGTCTGGAAGTGGGAATGAAGCTCAGGAAGCTGCTCCTATCAGAGAGAGAAAGATATCTTCAGACAACAGATGACCACAAACTGTAGGGGAGAGTGGGGTAAGATGTGTCACACCCTTTTTCTAAAAACAAAACAAAACTGTGTGCCGTTTTTGGTCATGTGTCCATGCACTGGTAAGCACTTTTATGCTAAAAATCCTGTTATTTCCATTTTGTAAGTACATTTTTCTCCATGGCAGGTAAAATTAGTCTTATGTCCAAGGATTTTCATTATATACACAACAATTCAAATGTTTGTGGTCAGTAATGGTTTTTTTTTTTAAAGGAATTTTAATACTTTTATTCAGTAAGGATCTGAGGATGCATTGATTACATTTATGACATTTATAATGTTACAAATCAAATCAAATCAAAGTTTATTTATAAAGCACCTTAAAAAACACAGTGTGTACCAAAGTGCTGTACAATTTCAAATGGATTAGATAAAACACAGTAAAATACAAGAAATAATACAATATAAACATACAATCAAAGCCTAACGGTCCTTATAAAGTAGCAAAGGCCTCATCAAACAAATATGTCTTAAGCTGAGTTTTAAACATGGTTACAGAAGTAGACGATCTGATAAACATTGGTAACCCATTAGGAGCAGCGACTGAGAAAGCACGATCTCCTTTAGTTTATAAGCGTGACTGAGGAATTTCAAGGAGCAGCAGATTTTGGGATCTCAGAGATCTCTGTGAGCAACTCAACTGTATAAGTTCAGAAACATATTTTGGTGCCAGTCCATGCAGAGCTTTAAAAGTATACAAAAGTACCTTGTACTTTATTCTAAAATGAACTTGTACCCAGTGTAACAAGGCCAGAATAGGGGATATATGATCCCGCTTTTTTGTATTTGTCAGCAACCTTGCTGCCGCATTTTGTACTCTCAAGACGTGACAGAGAAGACTGACTTACACCCATACAGAACATTACAGTAATCAAGACGCGAAGAAATAAAAGCATGAATTACTTTCTCCAGATCACTGAAAGATAGGATAAATTTAAGTTTAGCGATATTTCGCAATTGAAAGAAACTATTCTTCACCACTGAATTGATCTATCAAATTTTAATTCCCAGATTCTTAACATGTGTTTTCAGATTGGATGACAGAGGACATATTATTTGCACAGCTATTAGGGCCAAATATAATTTTAAAAAAAATTGTCCTTTTAACTGGAGAAAGTTATTATTCATCCAGCATTTTATATATTTTAGACACTCAAAAAGTGAATTAACGGATTTATCATCTCCAGGCTTTATAGGCAGATGCATAAAAATTATACGAAATGCTATATTTCTTAAAAATAGAACCAAGAGGAACCATATACAATGAAAATAACACTGGTCCCAGAATGGAGCCTTGAGGGACCCCACATGTGATCGAAGCTGTTGATGAGGAAAAGTTTCCAATTTTAACAGAAAATGTTCTATTTTGAAGATAAGAGGCAAACCAGCTTGGAGCAGTTCCTTGGATTCCCACATACTATCTTAAACATTCAACCAAGATTAAATGATCAATAGTATCAAATGCTGAGCTAAGATCTAGCAAAACCAAATTAACATTGCTACTAGAGTCAGTCTTTACTAAATGGTCATTAAGTAGAGTCGATTCTGTGACCTGATCTAAAACCAGATTGAAATTTATCAAAAACATTAAAGCTGACTAAAGACTATTTTTTCTCATATTTTGGATAAGAATGGTAGCTTAGATATTGGCCGAAAATTATTTGGATCTGTAGGATCTAGCAGGTTTTTTAAGAAGAGGCTGGACAACCGCATGCTTAAGACTTGAAGGAACACACCCACTGGTCAGACTGCAATTTATAATAGAGAGAATACTTGTATCTATGAGCTTGACGAACAGCTTGGGGGGAAGCACATCATTAGACGAGGAAGTAGGGTTTAAATGTGCAACAGCATCCCTAATAAATGAGAGAGAAATTGGTTACAAAAGATTTCTATTGCAAAACAAATGTTGTTTTCTCATTTTTATTCATCAAAACATCCTGGGGAAAAAAGTATTGCAGTTTCCACAAAAATATTAAGCAGCACAACTGTTTTTAACATTGATAATAATAATAAGAAATGTTTCTTGATCAGAAAATCAGCATATTATAATGATTTTGAATGATCATGTGACACTGAAGACTGGAGTAATGATGCTGAAAATTCAGCTTTGCCATCACAGAAATAAATTGCATTATAAAGTATATATTCAAATAGAAAACACAAAACAGTTATTTTAAATTGTAATAATATTTCACAATATAGCTGTTTACTGTATGTTTTATGAAATAAATACAGCCATGGTGAGCATAAGAGACTTCATTAAAAACATTTAAAAAATCTTAATAACCCCAAACTTTTAATCGTTCATATATATCTTGGTGAATTACCGATGTATAAAACAATGTGAATTTATTTATTTATGCATTTGTTTGTTTTAATTCATTTTCATATTATTTTATATTTTTATATACAAAATATAATTTGAAATCCAAGATTTAACTAACTTCTCATTGCTTAGAGGACAGCATTGGTAAAAAAATAAAATAAAAAATAAAACGTGACACAGCTTACCCCACTATCCCCTATGACACCAAATCTGGACATCTACGACTCAGAAGTTCTTGTCATATGTGCAATTCTCAGAAATCGGAAAGATACTTCAGCAGATCATTTGTAACAGGCTTTATGTAGCTTACTAAGCTCAAGGGGCATTTTATAAATAATTCATATGCCTTTAAATGGAGCAGAATTACACTTGTTTACCTGAAACATAGAGTCAAACTGGTAGATGCAGCAGCCAAGCTCAACCATACTGGATCTATAGAGCTCCCTCATTCTGAAGTCCTTCATCAGCCTCACAAAAACACAGAAGGCCTCCTCCTCAGCCATCTGAAAGATCATCAACTCAATTCATAGACTTGTACTAAGTACTATAATTTTGATTTTAAAAAAATCAATTCATTACCTGTGTGAGCAGCAGGCCTACAATAAACACACTTCCCTGGCAGTAGCCAATCTCTCGGTCTAAGACTGAGTAAGCCTGTAATAAAAGCCACATTGTGTTACCTATACTCCTCAAATGCATAAGTATAATCATATTCTCGGTCATCTAACCTTCAGCACGTTAAGCAGTGGCTCCTGGCAGGTGGCGTCCCGGAGCTCCTGAAAGAGCTGGTGTTGTGGGAGGATGCGGGACAGGTCTCTGTGTATCAGCGTCTCAGCGGGACAGGAGCTCTTCAGCAGATCTGAGTAGTGCTGTGAAACGGCCACGTTCTGAGCGTCACACAGCAGCCGCCACACCACGGGCCGCAGGTGAGCCGGGACACCCCTCCTGATCAGCACCTGAAAGGGACACACAAATGAGATACCGCTCACTGATGATTGTACACCCAGATTGAAATCATGACCGATCGATCGGTCGGTTACCTTGATCTGTCCCACTTTTCTCTTGCTCCAGTCGTCCCATTCTTGAATGACATGACCCCATATGTCATCGTCATAAGAGATGGTTTTAGGTGAGGTGGGACTTTGCAGGACCCCGCTTACAGAGTAAAGAGACTTACTGTCTGTCTCTAGCAGCCTGTTGAGGAGTGCAGATAAGATGAGTGATCAATAAGTAGACTAATGTAATGCCTTAATCTTTTACAGAATCAATCCCTTCATTCTTTACAATAATACAAAAGGAGAATTTAAGCTGTAAAATGGCATAAAAAAACATAAAATAATATTAATTAAAAAAAATTATAAAAAATACTTGTGATAAGTACTGTTTTAAGATGTGCTATGACATTAATATATTATATGATACAATCTTTGAAATACTTCTAATGATGTTTGTTTGATGCTGAATGTTAATTAAATTAAATAAATTAAACAAAAAGATAAAAACAAACAAATAAATACCTAAATAAATGATGTTCTTTAAACTTAACCCTATGTAAAGCATAATCTGGTGACAGTGTGGAAACAGAGACGTGTCACTAATGTAATGTGTAACTTTTTATTTTAGGTTGTTGCTTCTAGGAAACAGGGCATGCAGGGTGTGAAGAAGTGACCTGTTCTGTTCCTCAAGTTTAGCAAGTAACTTCATCTCATCTGCACTGAGCTGAGCCCCCGGTGAGGGACACGGAGATGGTGCGCTCAAAGAGTCCATCTGTAACACTCGGGGTGAAGCAGGACCTCTTGAAACCTAAAAAAAAACATTTAAAAATGTCAAAAACAAAAAATACAAATATGTGCTTATGGAAATGTGTGTGTATGTGTGAAGTTGATGGAATCTAATCATATAAGTACATTGCTTTTTTCATACATATGTTTCACATCTTGCATATCATACTTTATGGCATTTACTGTATGGATCACTGGCATAGTAATTGTGAAAACTGGGATTTCTTACCAGTGTGTGAGATTCCTGTAATTTGGGGGTGCAAATGTCTCCACAAAATCTTTCCTCTGGTTTCTGTCAAACTTAATCCAGTGACACTGTCCGTCACACCTGTTTCTTCCATACCGCAGAGGGGGGAAATACACACAGCAAAAGAATCACATGCTGCTTTATAGCAGAGCCTCACAGGCTGATCAAAGTTCCTCAAAATAACAGTTCTGCCTGTGACTCAGGAGCTTGTTTTTAAAGTGACCTGACTTAGAGAACAACTTCCTCTTACAACTTATCCCTCTCACAGACAAATATGGGGCCCATAACATTCACCTGTGGGACTTCAACCTGTTAGAGAGAAGCAACTGCATGGTTAATCTTGTCCAGTGCTGTGAAACTTTGACAGATAAGCTCCCTTATGCAGCATAAGCATAAATCATTTACTGAAACAAAAAGGAAGGTTTTTGGCTCAACAAGGCTGTGTGTCAACAGACACTAGGTTGATACATCTATGTTTTTAGCCCCACCCTATTTTAAGGAAGTCGATAAAGTGACATTGGTTTGTTTGCAACCCTAAACCTTTTTCACACCACAATATGAACTGTGACATTTACTGTGATAATGCTAACAAGTATTAACTAACGCATGTTTTCAAGAGTCATTGTCTATTTGTATTCAGTCTATAATAGCCTATACATATTTGTATAGTCTAAACATAAGTATAGGCCTAAGTGCACATTCAACAGCACAATTAACACTTCTTTTTCACAAGGGAAGTCCCTCTATAACACTTGAGCCGGGCAAATAATTTTTTATTACCCATCAGAACCCGATTCATTTTTAAAATGTATAAGAAACTTATTTGATTCTTAGAGGATTCTCATTTGATCCCATTAGGAATGCTTTGTTAATTTGTTCAAATCGTTTAATCCTACATAGAAATTAATTTAGGAGTTTGTATCTATAGAAATGAAAACAAATTAATTGCTTTCCTACCAGCCTAGAAGTTTGAGTGCTTCATTCACTATTTTAATATTTTTTATGATTGAATGCCCGTTCACACAGAGGACGATAACTATAAAGATAACGATAAAGATATAGTTCTAAAAATCATTTCCAATATTAAAAAATAGCAGAGTTCACACAACAGCTATAACGATATAACAACACAGAGAAACGAAATCGTTGAAATCACTTTCAGAAGGATTTTATCAGAGACTATTTGGACTTTGATTTTATCCAGCTGATTAACTATATACAAAAAACATTGACAGCCAATCAGAATCCAACTCGCTGTAACGAGCTCGAGCATTTAAAGCGGCAGAAAAACAAGCGCTTAGAATAAACAGAGCTAATAAATGGTTATCTTTATGGTTATTATCTTTATAGTAGGCCTAATAATTATTGGTGTGAACGGGCCTGACTATCCTGCCGTGTTTCCTCCAGGACGCTAGGAGCGCACACACTTCTGCGTGCGCGTGTTTTGTTTATCCGGTCGCAGCGCACCATGAACTTCCTTTTCTCAGTGCAGCGGGAGCAGTATCGGAGTCTGAAGACTTCAGTCTCCCAACCTAAAGGAGAACAAACGATTACAAAATGGTCAGTAAATCACAAAAATACAATGTTCTACTCGTTACATGCCCTCAACAGCTATTTCAGCTCGATTTCCATGAAAGATGAACTCATGAAGCGACGGGATGGTATTAGATTCAATCGGTCATTCCAGTCGCTGCGTGAACGTCAGTGGCACATTTCCCTCGAAACACTAAAAAAATATATTTTATTGACACTAAACGCAAAAATAAGCATGTTTTTGCAGTGTGTGTGTTTGCCCTGTTTAAAAGTCTGTTCTTTTATTCGGTTTTGCGTTGTCATGTTTACTGTCACTTCGTGCACCGCATCATCTGATCATAACCAGAGGCAGCCAACAGTGTCATTAGGATTATTGCTTTTCAAATGTCTACTGTCCTGCTTGTCAACAGTTTAACTTACAAATAAAGCTGTCTGTTGCAGGGCTTCGTTAAGGTGATTAAGAACAAGGCGTATTTCAAGAGATACCAGGTCAAGTTCAGGAGGAGGCGAGGTATGTCAACGTGTTTCCTTACCTTTGGGGAAGAATATTTCCAGTTGTCACAGTCAACGGGCCTGAATGTGTTCCTTCTGGAAAAACACCTGAAAGTGAAAACTATCTATGCTGGTCTTTTAGATGGTCAACAAGGATGTCTCAAGTGGCTGAAACTAGTGGTCAACTAATGTCTTTTAGAGAGCTGGGTGATCTGTGTGTGTGTGTGTATATATATAACAGAAACATCTTCACAATATTTAATTTAAAGATAGTAAAAACATGCATAATAATTGCTGAAATGAAATATTTATTTTACATAATATTTACAAAATTAGAAATAAATAATTTGAAAATGATAAAAACATGTTAAAAATATGAATAAATAGCAAGTAACTGTAAAAATCACTGTAAACACCAGTCCACTCAGTAATCTGGCAAGTTCCGTGTGCACTAGGAATAATATTTTTTCAAATAAAGACAAGGTATAACTAATTTTACATACTGCACACAATGAATATGACATGAATACAACATAGTGGCCTACTAAATATAGAGCATTATAGTTTGAAATCAAGGACTTTGTTTGGCCACTCAAACTCCTCTAAGGGCCGGTTCACCCAGAACGTGTTTTTAAAGTGAGAAGCACGCAGTTAAAACTCAAGGTGTCAAGATTTAACTTGAATGCAGTCAGTGTCGTGCTCGAGACATAATGGTGCGTTCACGTGCTATGGTAATTATGGTAAATGCCAAAAGCCGACGTGGAAAATGCACATGAACACCCCCTCATGTGGTATTTTCCACTGGGCAGCTCGCAGAATATTTTGATGCACGAGTTGCCAAGATGAGATAACCTTTGACCTTTTCAAAATGGCGGAGAGCAACGCGAGAGTCGTGAATGGTAAAAATATGTGCTATTCATGAACTAGAAAATATACAGCATATTATTTACCGTTTGAGTTTTGATAAATGATTTTCTTGCTGTAGCAGATGACTTAAGCAATCTAAAATAGTTTTAGTTAAATAACAGGTCTGGATCTCCATCTTTTTACCACATTACGACAACAAAAGCACTTGAACGCAACACACTGGTAAATACCAGTTCACAAGTGGAAAATATCATATTTTCCATAGCACGTGAACGCACCATAAGATAAGAGACGTGAGCGCAACCGTCAAACACGTCCGTCTAGTGTGTTTACATAGAAAATCAATGGAAAAGCAGTGAGATAAAAAAACGTGTTCTGGATGAATGGCCCCATAAGACCAACTTAGGATGATTTTTCAACAGTTGCCTAACATACTTGCCCTTTCAGAGGGAAAAACTGACTACTTTGCCCGCAAACGCCTTGTCATCCAAGACAAGAACAAGTACAACACACCGAAGTACAGGATGATCGTTCGACTCTCCAACAGGGATATTGTTTGCCAGGTATGAACTACTACCATGTCGTCTTTGCCATAGTTTTTGAAATCTTGCTAATTACCGTTGGTTTTACTGAGTGTCTTATGTCTTTCTCTCTGTCAGATCGCATATGCCAAAATCGAAGGCGACGCGATCGTCTGCGCTGCTTACTCTCACGAGTTGCCAAAGTATGGCATTACTGTAGGACTGACAAACTACGCTGCCGCCTACTGCACCGGTTTGCTGTGTGCACGCAGGGTAAATGTCCTTAGTATTCATGAATGTCTAGTATTGTTCAAATCTCATAGTATGGTCTTACTCAGATTTGTTTTCTGCTTACAGCTGCTGAATAAGTTTGGTCTGGATAAGGTCTACGAAGGCCAGGTTGAGGTGACTGGCGATGAGTTTAATGTGGAAAGCATTGATGGTCAGCCAGGGGCGTTTACATGCTACCTGGACGCTGGCCTCGCCAGAACCACCACAGGGAATAAGGTGTTTGGAGCTCTCAAAGGAGCAGTGGACGGAGGACTGTCTATCCCTCACAGGTCAGTGCATGCTGTTTTTTTTTTGTTGTTTTTTGCAAACTTAGACAATGGACATTGATTCAGCACTTTTGGATGCATGGGTGCATTAAAAAAGTCTTTATGAAAACATTAAATATTCTCCTTAAAAATAAGCTATTGGTCTGTATGGATTGCCTGAAGTCAATAATAAACACCTGAGGTTTGGTCAAATTTTTTCACGGTTTTGACTGTGGTTTTAAAGTGATTCCTGTGTGAGCTGCACTTCATGCATCACTACACTACTGACTAGTGATCGCACCTTAATAATGAGAAACACATAGTTGAAGAAAGTTTACTCTTCTGACATGTTCATAGGTGAAGTTTTATTAGGAAGAGGAAGAAATGTATGATTATAAGTAGGGGTGAGCAATATAACCAAAGTCTTATTTCACAGTATGAGAAATTGTATTTATCTCGATATATCTATTTTTAGTCTATTTTTCTTATTAAAAATAAGATCAAAGAAGCAAATTACAAACAGTAGTATCTATACAATAGAGCAAAGATACAAATAATAAATAAATAAATAAAAACAGTTTTTTGGCTACAGTAGGTTTATTTAACAAGTTGTAAGAAATAGTTGAGAAATTGAATAATCAAGTGTTTAACTAAAACACTGCATAGTTTTCACTCTTGAATCAAATATGAACCGATTCTTATTAAAAATACAAAATTGATTAAAATCAAGAGCGGAGTGATTTTCTCCTTGTCCTTTGATTAACATGAGACAGACAGCAGTTTATTATGCTGCTGTCCTTTTAAGACCAAATACACAGATAGGACTGGGCGATAAAACATGAACGATATTTATCGCGATATAATTTTCCTCTATAAAACGATAACAAGGTTTCGATAAATTAGATATGTTTTATGCGCCACAAGCAGAACGAAACAGCGCTACTCATTTGAACTGTGCGCCACACAGACCATTTATCCGCTCGGTTCAAGGTTTAAACGGCAGCGCTGACCGATCACATGACCACTAAACAGTGCTGTGAGATCTAGTGAAAAATGTTCCAGTTCTGTGCAGAGCCCTCCCATACAAACCACAGATCAACTTAGTTTAAGTGTAAAGCCAGATAAAACGGCTGACATTCTCAACAACACTCATGCAGAAAACAGGTGCAGCGATGATACAGTTAGAAGCCTTTTCAATCCACAAGTCGCCAACATTTGCCTTTATTTACTGTAATAACACTAACTGAAACCATGGGATTGTGGCATAAATGTGGTATATTCATATCGCATTTTATATTGTCATACTGGTGTCATGCAGTAGGTGGCGGTATGCACCTTCAAGTGGGTTTGCCAACCACCATTTAAAGGAAAAGAAACT